AAAAGACAAGACACAAATCTATACAATTAGGAACAAAAAGGGTGAAATCTCAACCTGACCCTGCTGAAATCCAAAAGATCTGTGCATACTTTGACAACCATATTCTAATAATCTGGAGAATTTCAAAAGAAATGGATAGATTCTTAGTTATATATAAATTACCAAAGCTGAGTCAAGAAGATATAAAACTTGTGGGTTTGTTTTTTTTTTTTTCAGTACTGGGGATTGAACTCAGGCCCTTGAGCTTGCTAGGGAAGCGCCTATTCTACTGAGCCATGTCCCTGGCCCCATGAAGATATAAAACTTGTGAACAACCCAATATCAGCCAACGAAATTGAAAGTAATTTTTAAAAAAAAGGCAAGACTCTGACATCTTCACAGCTCAATTTTACAAAAGCTTTACAGAAAATCTAATACCACTATCCTTCAATTTTTTTTAGGAATTTAAAAAGGATGCAACACTCCCAAATTCATTCCTGAAATCAAGTATTACCCTGATACCAAAACCAGAGCACGATCCAGACAAAAAAACAACTGGCCAATTTCCCTATTGAACATAGATGCAAAAACTGCAATCAGGGGCTGGCAAGATAGCTCACTAGACTAGGTGCCTGCTTAGGCAAGTGCAGGGACCAGGGTTCAAGCCTCCTATCCCTAGGTGTACTGAGCTGGCCACCAAGTCAGGAAGTGGTGGTACACACCTGTAATCTGAGTGCTGGGAAGGCTGAAAACAAGAGGATCACTATGAGTTTGAGCTGCACAGTGAGACCCAGTATTAAATATATTAAAAACAATAACAAAAACCTCAATAAGCTAATGACAAACAGAATTAAGCAAATCATCAAAACATCATACATGGGGGTCAGGGAGATAGCTCAGTAGAATAAGCACTTGCCTGGTAAGCACAAGGGCCTGAGTTCAATCCCCGGTTTCGCCAAACAAACAACAACAAAAATCATACACCATGACCTGGGATACAACATATGCAAACCAATAGATACAACATTCTACATTAACCCCACACAATCCTCTCAGTTGGAGCAGAAAAAGCATCTGACAAGGTTGAACACCCATTCATGACAGAAGGAATAGAGGTCCTTATCTCAATCTCATAACAGTAATCTATGAAAAACCAACAGCCAAGGTCTTCCTAAATGAACAAAAACTGACAAAAATTAGCCTAAAACCAGGACCAAGACAAGGATGACCAGTATCACACTCTTGTTCAACACAGTTCTAGAAACATTAGCCAGAGCAATTAGATAAGAGAAAGAAATAAATATGGATAGGAAAGGAAAAAGCTAAATTACAAAATCTCTAAGACTCCCTAGACTTAATAACTGCATTCAGTAGCATATTAGGATACAACACCCAAATATCAATAGTGTACCTGTACATAAACTCACTGACAGCGAAATTGGAGAAACAATACCTTTCACAGTGGCATCAAGAAAAATGAAACGCCTAGGAATCAATCTAATGAAGGAAGTGTTAAGATCTTTACATTATATTGAAAACTATAGTAGTACTCTGAAAAACGAAATCAAATGGAATATTAAGAAAATAGAAAGATATTCCCTATGGTTGAATAGGTAGAACCTATGCAGTGAAAAATGTCCTTTCCACCTGCCTTACTTTTTCACACTGCTGAGACAAAATACTCAACACCCAAAGTTAAAGAAGGAAAGATTTATTTTAGTTCACTGTTTTTTGAGGTTTCAGTCGGCTGGCTACAAGACAGGGTAGGATGGCAAAGGGGCATTGCAGAATAGAAAGAGAAGACAGCAAAGTAGTGAAGCAGCAGCAGCAGCAGCAGCAGCAAAAAACAACAGCAGTCCTCTGTCTGGTTTTTTTGTTGTTTTGAGATAGGGTTTTGCCACTATGTAGCCCAGGCTGGCCTAGAATTTGCAGTGATCCTTTTGCCTCAGCTTCCTGAGTGCTGAGATGATAGACATTTTCACTAAGCCTGTCTTCTCCCGCAAAACCCTATCTACGGCCACAGGAGGCACAGGTTGATACAAGCCAAAATACTTCCAAAACTGTTTTATACAGATTTAGTACAATCAAAATACCAATATCATACTTCACACAATTAGAAAAAAAAATCCTACTATTTATAAGGAACCAGGAAAGACCTAGAATAATAAAAGCAATTTGGGACAAGGACAAGACAGGGAACATCACAAAGCTACATTAGCAAAAAACAGCGTGGTTGTGGCAAAACAACAACAAAAAGACGAGGATCAATGGAAGACAGTAAAGACACAAAAACAACTCTAAGCTTACTCAGCTACCTTATCTTTGACAAAGGGACCAAATATCATCACTGGAAGAAAGATAGCTTTTTTAACAAATGGTGCTGAGAAAACTGGCTTTCTATAAGACAAAAGATTAAACCTAGGCCCCTATCTCTAACCATGTACTAAACTAAAATCAAAATGTTTCAAAGACCTAAACAGTGTGTTCCAGAAAGATGGCACAGCAATAAGCAGCAAGAAATCAACCCCTCCAAGATTTGTAATCCCACACTGGAAAATAACAACTGGGGGAAGAAAAAAAGGAGGGCAGTGGATCCCTGGGAGCCAGGAAAGATCTGAAGCAAAACCTGGGGAGCACATACAAAGAGAGGCAGACCTCAATGCAAAGGAGGAGGCAATTTGCACTATCCCCCTGTTACCTGGCGTATAGTGTGTGGAGAACATTTAATAGTTTACCTTACAATGGAAATAACCTACATGGCACTCTGAACCTGATCAGGCCAATATGATTGCTTTTCATTCTAGAGGAAATCTAGCAAAAAGTTTAAAGTAAAAGGAAATGAAAATAAGACCTTTGCCCCAGTGCCCCCCCAATTGAAAGACCCAATCCAAACTGCATCCCTAAATGAATAGACACTTTCAGATGAAGAAGTAGAAACAGCAAATAAATACATAAAATATACTCAACATCACTGGTCACTTGAAAAATACAAATTAAAACAACACTGAAATTTCATCTCAGGGAAGGAAGAATGATTATCATCAAGACATCAGCTAGTATGGTTGCATATGCCTGTAATCCCAGCCCTCAGAAGGCAGGAGGCCAGCATGGGTTTCACAGTGAGTTCAAGCCCAGGCTAAATTACACAGTGAGACCTTGTCTCAAAAAGATAAAAAAGAGAAATCTGCCAATAATAAATGCTGGTAAGGCTGTGGGGAAAAAAGGAACCTTTCTACATTGTTAGTGGGAGTGTAAAGTGGCACAACCGCTACGTAAATAAATATGGAAATCCCTAAAAAAAATTAAAAGTTCCATTTGATCCAGCTTTCCCCTTCCAGGTGTCTTCCCAAAACAGTTACAAGTACCATTCCACAGTGATATACGAACACTTATATTTATAACTTTTTTTTTTTTTTTGCGGAACCGGGGATTGAACTCAGGCCCTTGCGCTTGCCAGGGAAGCGCTTATTCCACTGAGCCATCTCCCCGGCCCCTGAACACATATTTATAGCAGTGCAATTTATACAGTGGTATCTCAGTTCACGAACTTAATTCTTTCCACAATTCTGGTTGCAAACCAAATTTGCAACCCATATCAAATTTCCCCATAAAGACAACATTGAACCTAACCATCGAATCTTATTTGGCTCACAACTAATTTGGATTGTGACCAGAATGATGGGAAGAATTACATTTGTCAACCAAGGTATCACTGCAATAGCTAAATCGTGGAAACAGCCCATATGCTCACCAACAGGTGAAAGAACAAAGAAAATGTGGCTTTTATACACAATGGAGTATAATACCAATCCACCATAAGGATAAACTTCAGGCATTTTTAGGTAAGTGGATGCACTTGAAGACCATAATGTTAAGTGAAATATAGCAGACACACAATTTTAATATCATGTTGTTTCTCTTGTATGAGAAACCCAAAGGGTAAAATAAGTAGCAAAATAGAGGCGAAGTAATGGGAAGCAGGAAGAACATGTTCAATGGAAAGAGAAGGGAGAGGGGGATGAAAAGAATGGAAAAGGAACTAAAAAAAAAAGAAAATGTAGTAATCACTCACAATGGAGTACTACTCTGCCACAACGAAAGATAAATCTGAACAATCTGTCAGAACTTGGGTGCATCTTAAGACAACAATGTGAAGTGAAATAAATCAGACACAGATGCTTAAGAATCGCATATTTTCCCTTACAAAAGAACAATAAAAGATAATAGAAAACAGGGATATCTTTCAGAAGAATTTTTTTTTGGCGCTGAATGCCCTCAGGGCATGTTTGGCTGGTTTTAGTCCTGGGGATCGAACCACAGCAACTTGAGCCTGACAGCTTTGTTGAAGCAGCCACTTAAAGAACTGAGCTAAGGGGCAGGCCCCCAGGGAGATCTTTTAGAAATGGGAGAGAAAGTACAAAGAATTAAAATGTGTTAGTACATGTACCAGTTTAATTATTACATAGTACAAACAAGTATTAATAAAAATTAATGAATACACACAAAGATTCAATCATCCAGCTATCTTCTATTAAGCCAACATTAAAGTGAACTGTAAGATTACAAAACAATTCTATTTTAATTTTGTTCTGGAAAATGTTATTTTTCATAAAAGTGCTACTTATAATATCCGATGAGTTTATTTTTAACTGAACCTTTGCCAAGCTCTTAGTTTTAATTTCTAACATAGTAAGTTCTTTGAGCAGTTACAGATCATTTGCACATACATAAGGAAAACTGAAACCACAAAGCTTGGCAATCCCTACACAGTGACATCATTAATGCTTCTGACTTGCTAGTTGTACTTCAAAAACAATTCTTCCTAGGGGACAGTCTCATTATCCACGAAGGGTTCTACACTCAACTCTGATTCCATTTGAACAATTATATTTTTACCTAGATTTATGACTCTATAGGGAACAGTTTTACAGTACTGGGTTCTTTTTAGTAAGTCTTCATTGCATTTTTCTGAAAACATTTTCTCAGTGTAATTTTCCAAGCTTTATAAAACCTGTCAATACCTGCTTTGTTGCACTGCGTCTTAAAAATTTCAAAAAAAGATGGCCTCTCTTTAGATCCAAAAGGCATCTTTCTCTATAATATTTTTTCCACTGCTTGCTTTACTGTATCTCTGCAAAAGATAAGAGCAAAATACAAGTCACAGGGATGCATGCCTTGTTAAGTGTGGTAAAATTAGAATCGCGCTGGTAAGCTTTTCTACAGTTAATTATTTAAAAATCTTAGTCCCAACTTTTCGGGCAATAACATAATTTACTGTGAGAATGAAAATATTCTAGAATTGTACAGTCCAATCCTGTAGCCAGTAGCCATTAATTTTAACTGTGTTAACTGGGCACGCGTGGCTAGCGGGTCAGTAGTTACAGAGTGTTCTTATTAGAGGCAAACATTTTTCAAATCCCAATGCATAAATCTTCTGAATGTAGCAATTACTGGGAGTTAAGGAAGACCCATACATAAAGCGTGCCCGGATGAAACTTCAGGTTGGGGCAGTTGCAGGGCAAATCCCTGCGGCTGGCAGGGCCCAAAGGTGCGCAACAATCAGGGAGTGAATTCCCAGGAAGGGGAATGGGCTCGAATGGACCCTGCGGGCATATGCCGGTGGGACGCACGCAGCTCTCTCGCTCAGAGGTGAACTCTACGGAGACCACGACGACAGAGGTCGCGGCTCCCACCGCGTCGGGAGGCGCTACCCCACCCGCCCCTAAGACTGGGACCGCGGAAGGCACGGCCCCACCCCGGCACCACTAACCCGCTCCAGGGGTGCGGCTCAATTTTGGCGAAAGAAGGCGGACAAACACTGCGTCGGTTGGCACCTGGATCAGTTTGACCCCTCCGGCTGCTTCCCGCAAACTACAGCCCGCAGCACGACTCAAGGCGAGCGAGCCAGCAGGACCGCCCCCATGATTCAAGAAGTGCGCGCCAAAAATTCACTCTATGCACGTGACGCGATGACGCCATGACGTGATACGCCACGTACACGCCACCCGGAAGTCAGGCGTGCAACTTCTTCCTGGCGAGTGAGAGTCGCCGGACTAGATGTGTTTGTGATCGGCTCTTCTCCCGAATAGAGACAGAGCCGTTATAGGGTCTCTTTTCCGAAGTACTAGTCCGCTCTGCTTGGGCGGGCCACCTACTCAAAGTGTCCTGTCCATTACCAACTGCTGCAGCTTGGCTGGGTGCTCATGGGACACCATCTGGGTTTGGGACCTTTGAAAGGCAATTTGTTCAGTCTTTAGAGCTAATGTTTTTTACGGCTATTCCCCAAAGTAATCCAAAGACTTCTGAGCCCTCTTCCCCACTTGAATAATTGCAAAACTCACCTTAATAAACTGTCCCTAGAATATTAGATGTTCCCCTGTGCAGGTTTTGGTAGTATCTGCATTTCTAGGTACTGTTCTACATGTTTTGTGCCTGTCTTCCCCTAAGCTGACCTACAAACAGAACTTGACTACACCTGAATTCACAGGGTCTGTGACAATAGTAATTATAAAGCTTGATTTAGAATTTACTGCAGAACCCTGGAAGGCTTCAGCTGGATGCAGGTCAGCCCAGCTCATGAGCATAGCTGCTTGTGGCAGGTGCCTGAGCAGTAAAAGCAGAGACAACCTCGGGTCAGAAAAATGAGTTCTACTTGGTTCGTTAGAGATCTTAGTCTATAACCAACAGTTAGCTATAGCAGGAGACTTTCTTGATGCAGATAGAACAAAAGTGTTTTTTGATCTTAAAGGTCTAATTAGTAAAAGAACTGTGATGATTTATAATATCTACCACTTAGTGAAGATGTTACAAGTTTGGCAGTTTTGTGCTTTATAAGCAATAGTACATTTAATCTTAATAAGAATCCTATAAATTGGTTAATATTGCATTGGCCCAGTCAAGGAGCCCAAGAAGATTTTTACAAGCAAGAACCCAAGGTTAAAGAACACACGTGTGCAAGACATCAGCAACTGAAGCAGGCAGCATGGAGCAAAGCAGCGTGGAAGAATTATGAGCACAAGAGAGACACTTGCATCTTTGTTAGATAATTCTTACACAAGTTATCTCATATTTACATTCTTACATAGTGCCATAACCACTGCATGTATGTTTGTGCTAAGTCATTGTTATATAACTGTATCCACCATGGGTCTGTGCTGCACAAGCAGGGCCATGGTCTCAGGTGTTCTTAGACACTCCTGAACTTCGAAGCAGTCTGAGTTGTTGCCCACCTCTCACCACCACCTCAAAGGTCAGGGATACATAAATGTAACATTCTATATGTAACAGGGCACAAGTACTTCCTTGTATTGCACTTAACAAATTAAGAATCATGTAGTTTGCAAAACCACTTTTTTCATGTGAACAGTTTCACCCATAAGCAACATCAAAGCCTGGCATGTAACACTGAACAAGGGCTTCAACCTGGGAGCTAAGTTTATAGTACTTGCCCCTGGTCAGATGCTATTCTCAGCAGTGTCCCATACCCAGTCAATATTTTTGGTCAGATGCTATTTCCAACAGCCATTGCATTTCCTGGCATCTTTTAAGTCATTTTCCAGCAAGAAGAGGGCCTTACGTCCTGAACCATGGTACCCTACATGAACAGCTCTTTGGCCATGCTCCCATACGTCTTACTGTAAGTTGGCATCCCACAAGGCATCATGCTCTATGTATCACTCCTGAGCTGCTCAAGCCAGCAGCCAGAGTGTTAGCCTCCCCACCCAAGATGGCCTAACTGCACACACATAGGAGGTCTTCTTCATGTATCACAAGCAATCACACTGTCCACAGTTCTGCCTTTTGTCTTGATCTGCCTGCTGTTAGAGTAATTATGTACTGGGATGGACAGCCACTGCTTTCCACTATGGGGATGTGCCATGGCTAGACCCATTAGTGTACCAGGTGTCAGTCAGAGATCCTTCTTTCTTTTTTACATAAAGACTAGGGGGTCAAGTCCTGTAGTCTATTGTACTGGACAGGTTCTTGGGCCATGTACATCACAGGTCCCCAAACCATTGCCAATAGGTTACCAATAGGTTAGCTGAGAAAGAGGCCTGCTGTTGTAGGAATGTCCTCCAACACATGAGTTGGGCTGTTCACATACCCAGCCCTCTATCTGTCCCATGATTCCTCACAGACATGCAAAGCAGCCTACAGTGTTGCTGTTTCTCAAATATGGGAATATCAGTCCTCAGATCCCTTCCATAACAGTGACCAAAACCCAACAAGGTGCTTTTGCTTCCCCTGTTTTTGCCATGGGCCTCATCCAAATCCATCATCATCCATACTGACAGAAAAAATGACAGGTTAGGGTCACTGACTTATAGGGCTTGCACCTGTGCAACAGTCCTCTTTGAGTCCTGAAAAGTAGCTTCTTGAGCCAGATATGGTGATGTACCTCTGTAATACCAGAAATCAGAAGGCTGAGGCAGGAGGATTGTTGCAAGTTCAAGACCAGCTTTGGCTACAAACTGAGCTCAAGGCCAGCCTGAATTGGATACGAAACTGTGCCTCAAAAAGACAAAAAAAAAAAAAAAAAGCTTTTTCTGCATCTATCCAGCAAACAGCTTCTGCTGCATCTGAGCAGCCCTATGTTGTGCCCCTTTTGGTCATCTGATAGGGCACATCAAGGTGGTAGGTTTGCTACATTCAACAAAAACTTGGCAAGCCTACATATGCCTATGATTGGCATACTGTCATGGGTCTGGTCTTACCCGATCATATAACACCCAAGAATTTGACTGACAAGCCAGGTCCCTGAACCTTTCTTTGTCCGTGGCTCACCCACATGTGAGCAAAGCTTCCTTCAGACTGTGCACAGCGGCTTTCAAATCTGCAAGACAATCAGAGGCCAACATAATATCACTAATATAAAATGATGACACAGAGTGTGGCTTAGCAGGCAAATTAGTCCTGACTGGCAGTATTATGGTGAGACTTCACAGTCATTCGCCACAACCCCTTTAGCTTCTGCATGGGCCATACAGAAAAGGCTCTCTACAGAAAGTATCACCCCTACTTTTTCCAATTTCAAGACAGTCTATCCCATCTCCTCATGGCCTCTAGATAGTCAGTACTGCATCACACACACAACCCACACATGGCCTGTGGGAGAGTCAGAGGTTTGTGTTGTGAATGGCCACACAACCAGAGTCATCCCTATGTGGTCTTGAGCTGAACACCAGTCAGTATGTCCACCCAGTAGGTATTCAGCAACTGGGTAAACATAAACATCACACAGGCTTGGGGGCAAGCAACTGATACTCAAAGTCACCCGGGTCTTCCATACCATGATGTAGTGACCTCCCTATCACTGACACTAGTGTATGCTGCACATTTTTGAGGAACCAATAAATAGTTGATTCCACATGTGGAAGCTAAAAGAGGCCAATGTCACTTCTTTCTGCTTCAGCAGAGCTGCTTCAGCCTTCTGGCCCTTTGTCATCAGGTGGTATTGCTACTTGGGAAGTAACTGCCTCCACAGAGGCAGCAACACATGCAAAGTCTGCCCATTGAACTTACATATGGGTTGGCCAGCAGCCAGCAGGTCCATCCAGATTGGTGCTGACCCACTATTAGGGACCCCACACTTGTCCTTGGGGAGATGGCCCTGCTCGCCTAGAGCCCTTCTTTTTTTCCTTTGCCAGTACAGTTTTTATAGATCTTTCCTTACCTTATTTTTTTTATTTTTTTATTTTTTTTTATTTTTCAACAAATAATACACTGCATATATTCTTCTTAGTGGTTAATTGCTGTACAAGATGCGGACTTGTGATCCTATTTACAAACACCATTAGAACAAATCATTCTATTCATTAACAGAATGTATATATCTATCCCAACCACTTTGAATACACAAATATAAAATGGACATTAATCTGTATACCCCATTTTTTCTAAGTTCCATTATTGAATATTATAGGTGTGTAAACTCAGCAAAATATTCTAAAAGAGTCCAGTAGCCCATAATAGCATTGGGTCTTCTGTTTAACTGGCAATGTCAGAAATTATTGACCTGAGTCCCCCACAGCTCAACTTAACAGCATGGCTTTATTTCTTATAATTTCGTCTTCATACTTTTCTGCTGG